CAATTGCTATCATGAGTTTTTCATGATGTATTCCAAGAAGACTGCCTGCACAAGCATATTTATGTGATTGCATATTGATGTGTGAGGGCATATACGGACACTTCCAATAGTGCAGTGAAAAGAGAAAAAACACAGTCCTGGACACTCAGGTTGCCTCAAAGGCCATTTCTAGCAGCAAGAGCCACCTTTGCTGAAGGCCAGGGGGAGGCTGCGGTCCCAGGGGCCTGAGCTCTGCTCTCTGGACCAGGGTGTTTGGAACATTCTCTGCTGTATATTAGAGTCAGGCACAAAGCCCTGTACCCATCTTCCACTCACCTGCTGTGGTTTCCTGTAGAAGAACAACTTGAGGTGACAAAGAACCAGAAAGAAAGGGACAGGAGAACAGGACTTGAGTAGCTGTTGGTAAATCACTTCAAGATGGCAGGGGAGTGGCCTTCAGGGTGGAGAAACCAAAAGTCCATGGTCTTGCTTGAAAGAGTCCACTGCACCTCTCCTGTCCTCCTGCATGAGTGAGAATAGGAGGAAGACCTAGTGCCCTGGAATCCACTCTCTGCCCACCGCAAGGCTCATCTCTGGCCACCTGGGCCATGGCTCCTGTTTGGAGAGTTGTCATCTGAAAAGAGGAGGCTGGAGGAGCACCCCCGTATCCTTCAGTGCCACAGAGGTGGCCATGCTGAAGGGGCTAGTGACAGCAGGATGCGGCTGGATGAGAGACGGATGGGAATGCTGTATGTGGACGAGCTTCCCGAGGCACCAGGGGTCAGATGCCTGGTACTTCTGTCCTTTGGGGGTCTGGAGCCCTCCTCCTACTCCCGGAATCCCCCACTGCCTCTGCACCAGGAGTCCTGTGGCTCAGAAATTGTTCCTTTTTCACATGGGGGAGTTCATTTATCTCTTCATTCACTGATCCCTCCGTTGGTTGGCTCATTTAATAAGCAGATATAGAAGGTCTATACTGGCAGGTGCTGGGGACTCAGAGGTCAGCCACACCTGCAACCCTGCACTCACTGCCCCTTGGGGGACAGACAGGACATGGGCGGTGGGAAACCAGTGTGGGAAGTGCTGTAAAGGGGAGATGCTGAGCGCACAGAAGGTGACAGGTCATAATAGACCTTGTTGAAGCCATGTGAGGATAATCCAGAGGCTGCAAGCCAGATCTCTAGAGCATTTTTGGCAGAGGGGACCAGAGGAGACCTAGTGGTGGGAGGAGCCGGCTCCTCCAAGGAACCACAGGTGGTCAGCCTGCTCCAGGGGTCAGATATGATGAGCAGCAGCCCAGAGAGAGTGCAGGGCCAGAGCACGTGAAATGTTGCAGGCCAAGGAATGACATGGACTTGATTTTGGCTATTGGGCAGCTATGGAGGCTTCAAGAGGAGTAATTTGGTCGGGCAGGACTACATGTTCTGAAAACGCGGGGTAAAGCCGGCAGTTCTGCCCATTGTTCTCATCCGTGGGCTTCACAGCAGAGCAGGTCACAGCTCCTGGACAGAGATCCCCCTGTAGGGCAGGAGGCCACACTCCAAGCTGGGCCCGCCTGGCCCAGCTACACAGAGCAGAGCCAAGCCAAGGCCCACAGGGAAGCCTCTGTGGCCACCCAGCATGGAATTTTCCTCTTGGAGCTTGACCCAGTTCCTTGCTGTTATTCTGTCACTCTGGGTGAGCTTGTGGAATTCCAAAAAGGTTAGACGTTGGAGAGGAGGGCTCATGTTACCAGGATCTGGCTTGCACCCTGCCCAAATGGCTCCAGGGTTTAACTT